ATTATATTGGTAAAATACCAAAAATATCTTTCCAAACATCAAGTTGATAAAATCAGAATATGTGTTCTATCACATGTATTTCTCATAGACTTTTAAAACTCAAATGCAATATTTTATTTAATTCACTATTTCTATTTTTGTTAAAATAGTTCTCAAATTTAAGAAAGGTGGTTACTCTAAAGCAGCAGTTCTCAACTCCCTTTGGGGGTTGAAGGACCCTTTCACAGGGGTCGCCAAAGACCATCGGAAAACACATATTTCCCATGGTCTTAGGAACTGAGACATGGCTCCTCCATCCATCTCCAGGCAGGTCCGCCCACAAGCAGATACACCCACATACAACATGAGGAACTGTATTATTAAAGGGTGGCAGCATTAGGAAGGTCGAGAACCACTGCAAGCAAGCTTTCTGAACTATTGAATTTGCTTTAGGATTTAAACAAAAGTTGGGGAAATTTATTCCCCTTCTAGTATCTGGCCACAAAGAATTTATAGCTGTATAGTTAATATAAAGATCAACACAGTCTTTCATATGGTATATAAATATTGAATAACTATGTTGTACATGTGAAACTCACATAATATTGTATTTCCACTATACTTTAATAAAAAATAAAATGAATAAATTCTGTCATGTTTCCAATGTTAAAGATTAACACATTTGAAATTAACTTATGTTTTCACTTTAATAATAAAAGCAGCTGTGAGTGCTTGCTATGTTCTAGGCATTATGCTAAGTGGTATTTATATATTATTTTCCTAAATCCCCAAATACATACACAAACTTACAGAATCATAGCTTATGATAAAGATATTAGATGTAAAAGCATAGAAGAAAGAAACTGAATGTAAAAAAAACATAAAACAACATTTTTAAAGACGTATGTAAGTTCACTCAAAAAGTAGCAATTCAGAATTTGAATGAGGTCAGTCTGAATTAAAAGTCTGTCCTCCTACATTCTGTACTGCTTGAACCTTATTCCTTTTTGTTAATTATCATAATCCTAGAAGTTTGTATTGAATGTAAAATTTTCTTTCAGGTTTTATGATTCTGGGATAGTCTATAGCATATATTTTCCCTATTGACCAAACCAGCAGTGTTGAAGGAGTGGAAAGGGGAGAAGAAGAAGAAAAAGAGAAGAAAAAGAAGGTGATCTTCCAAATTTTTATCAAAATGAGTGTATTTGTCAGGATTATTTTGTTTGCGAGTGATGGAAACCCAGCTGAAACTCACTTAAGCAAACAAAGACAATTTATTTGTTCAAGTAACATTTCGACAAAGTTGAATTCAGGTACTAAAATGGATGTTGTAAGGAAACTGACTCTGCATTTCATGACTATGTTTTCCTGAGGGTTCATTCTAGGTGGCCTTTTCACAAGTAATGGAAAAAATTATCATTAGCAACTTAATTCATACACACATTCTACAAGCTTGGAGGTGTGCCAAAATATCCTAACCATGGGGAATGTGGATCAAGGGAGAGAAGAAAGAATAACAATCAACAGAAATAATCTCTATCATTAAGTTGCTTGAGCTTTGGCCAAAGTATAAAACTAGGTATCTAATTAGTCTCCAAATACTTTTATTTTTACTTAATATGAATATATATATTTGAAATATTTATTGATTTATTTCATTCCATTTGTTTCATTCCTTCCTTTATAAATTAAAAGTAGCTTTTGGAATCCTGCCATATGAGTTTGACATCATCCTTTTTGTTAGTAAGTACTGTAGAACAGAGAGGATAGTTTTTCCTCCAGGCAGACTTAGTTCCTTTCATTCATAAGGTTTTCTTCAAATAACCCATATTGTCTCTCTAGAAAGCTAGAGAGATCATGAATCTTTGCCCCTACCATGTCATAAACTTTTGAAAAGTGTAATATTCTCTGATACATTAGCTTAATTCTGAACATCTATGTTAATGCACATACAGTTTACCAAAAGTAAGATTTTCAAGATGACCATGTTTTGTGTATGTGTTAATTCATAGTGTTTAATAAAATACTGGAATTTGTATTAGTGAGTTACACATTGCTTCCCATTTCCTTAAAGCAGGTTCAAATTTCATTTTAAATAATAGCTCTAATAAACCTTATGTCCCTTAAGGCACATCTATGTAATCTGTATCCCCATAGATATAAACTAGTTTTGATTTGTATTAACCACAAACTTATATTTCCTACAAGTGATATATTATCTGTGTGTTCCCAGTAGTAATCTTTGGCAATTCAAAATCAATATTTTACTATAAGGATTTCTCAATTGTCAAACTTTTCAAAAATACTACTCTTCTTTATAATGTGGGTACCCGTGGGCCTCTCTAGGTGAGTTCCACATGGGCTGAAGAATCTCTTTAAAAGGTGTATGGGTATTCATTTTTCAAACAAAGAGACTTACAGCTGTGGAAAATGAATTGGTGGCATAAATGTATGTCCCTCATGCCCCAGCTACTGAGAGCCCAATAATTCAGCTGCTGAACAGATTGAAAGGCTGGTTCTGAGGTTTGAAATAATTTTTCTCTCAGATAAAAGTTAACAGCAATTAACTACACCTTAGTCTAGTACAAATGAGGGAGAGCTGAGCTTCATTTCTCCCAGTGATGTCGTCAGACAGATACTGAAATGGGAATGGAAAAGATTAGATTACAAATGAAAAAGTACTGGATGATTAAATTACATGTATGCAATAAATATTGAGGAAGAAGTTTCTCCTAAAAAAGGAATTTATAGCCCAAGTTATGTTATTTCCTTGATTTAAAAAATTACAACATATATTAGTCTGAAATACTACAAGAGACATTGCAACTAACATGTTTTGCCTTACTTTTATGAAACCTGTTTTTAAACAAACAGACAACTACCAAGCAAAGACTTCACTTGCTACACAGGTAATTTCTTGTTTTGGTGTGTGTGTGTGTGTGTGTGTTTTGCAATAAAATGAGCCAGGGTTCAAAAGCAAGAAAATAGCTATATTAGGAGATATTAGTGCAAGTGCTACATTGTGATTGGCACTTTAAATTTACCAAATCAACTCTTGAATTTTCTGTTTCTGAGCTGTGCCTCTTCGTTAAGAACATACAATGAGTAAAACATATCTTCTGGGTAATAAGGGAGAAACAAATGCATTAATAACCTCCCCCTCCCTTTAATGGCTGCAGAAAGAAAAAAAATGCCCATGAAGATGTAGCCAAGATCATAGGGAGACTTAGTTGTTTTCCAGCCCAAATGCCTTGTACACTGATCTTGCACAGTGAGCTTCACTCTGCACCTCTAGGGTATAGATAGTGTCTTTCCTAGACCTGCAGGGTGAACAGTGGATAAATGATTATTAAACCAAACCCTTCAGCAGTATTCAGGCTGTAATTAACCCTTTGCCATACTACCCAAGATTATCAGGTACTTCAAGTCATATCTGGTTGCTTGAAAATCTCCTTCACATGGACTAGTTGCACTTGCCTTCCCCCTCCACCACCACCACATTTATCACCACACACTTGTACCTAAGAAGCTGAAACTAAAAAGGTCACAAAATGTCTTTCACTGTGAAACTCCAGTACTGAGATACTATCAGTTCATTCCAGTTCCATTTTATTTTTAAAGAATTGGATTGACTTTAAATGACAAATGTGTCAGAGGAGAACAGGAGAACTTTTCTGAAAAGGTGCAAATGTCATTACCTAGGATGAAGTCTGCAAAAGAGTCTAGAGGTGCCTGGTCTCTTATTTCTGATGAAAAGTGGATGACCAAATTCCACGTATACAGGCAGAATCTTACATCTGCATGCCTAAACATGTTCTGTGGAAGTGGTAGACACCTCTCCCACTGACAAAAAAAAGGTGGCTTTATCTAATTTAAAGAAAAGTAAAACCCAGCAGAGGAAGACATTCCAGGAAACCCTGGAATCAGTTATTTGAATCCAACATTTTGAGGTGTGTCATCCTTGGGAGCAAAATTTCCATTGGTGCTCAGCTGGTGACCCTGAAGTCCTTAGCTGTGTTTGTTGATTAAGTCATGTGAGAAAGAAGAGGCTGTGAGTGAGAATATGGGGCTCCTATTCAGGCAGGATTTGAGAAACTTAAATTGCTCTGATCATTGACAATAGGCATCTGGGAGCCACCTGTCTGCCCCTTGCCTCCCCACCTGGATAGAAAGGACAGACTAGGGTGCTGCCCACGCAGTTTGAGACCCAAGCTGCGGAAGGGAACTTCCCCCAGAAAGCTTGGGCTCCTCTACTTTTATTCAGTGCACTCACTGGAGAACAAAAGACTCCAACACACTTCTCTGGATTTGGTTAAATACTATTTGCACTTTTGTTGGAAAACTGGCCCCTCATGGGCAATTATTTTGCATGTCTTTGAGTTTCACAGTTTAATGTAAAACAGTAACTTTGTGTATCCTTCCTGCCCACTATCCTGAGCCCCTTTCCAGCCAACCCCTCAAACTTACTCCATCCCTGCTCCCTGTCAGACTCTGAAGTGTCACTCAAGGTGGTTTTTGTGTTTCCAATGGTTTCCAAAATAAACAGTAGAGACTGTGACCAGCTGGGTATTCACTCAGACGGATGCAACAGTATCTCCCTATCTGAGCTGCCTGAGCCACCATTGGCGGCAGGTCCGATCCCTAAGAGGCCCTTGCTTGCCAATCTCTGCGCTCTGCCGTGTCCTAGAATCAGGGAGTTAAGGACTGATGGTCCGCACATGTCCATTGGGAGGGAGGAGACCAGAGAGGGAAGGAGGACTAGACTCCAAAGGACTTTGGCTTCAGTTTGATCTTCCTTTCCTTTCATCCTATTCAAAGAAGAAAAAAAAATTATATATATATGTATATATTACACACACATTTTTTTCTTTGAATATTGATCCTGAAATTGTTTTTTTCTGATTTGGGGATTGTTTTCGCTTTCGCTCTCTCTTCAGTCCTTTGCGCTCTCCCCCCTCTCCCTCCCTAAACAAGCTCAGGTTGAAACTTTGCAGTACACATTTCCTTCGCTCCCTCCAGGGATGGCTCTGAGCTCTCGGGCGCATGCCTTCTCAGTGGAAGCCTTGGTGGGGAGACCCAGCAAAAGAAAACTGCAAGACCCAAGAGAAGAGGTGCAGCCTGAGCTGCAGGAGAAAGAGGGCAGAAAGGAGGAGGAAGAGAGAAGGAGCGGCGCCGAAGGGAAGAAGAGCGAGCAGCCTGGTAAGTACCCCAACCGTACCCCAAAGCCCTGAGCTGGCTTCTTGCACTTGCTGGATTGGCAAGTCTCAAACTAGTCTCTAGGACTGCAGGAGGGCGACTAATAGGACCCTTGGACGTCCTGGCCCAGCCAGATGGTCAATATCGGGACCCTGGGGACACCTCATCCCCTTGGCTGTAGGGGAAGTTTCAGAGCCTCCCAGTTCAGCCCATAATTCTGTGGTTCATTGACGATGAAGGAGAGAGTCCCCCTATGTTTGTAGAGAAGTGAGATTCTCCAATCTCCCTGAAGCCCTGAAAGCCAGAGGTGGCTGTTTCTCAGAATAGGAAACAGGGAGTGCACCCAAATTCCCAGGAGATTAAGCCTCTGGGACTGAAAATCTCCAAGAGAGTAAAATTGGGCAAATTTGAAGAAGGACCCTGACTTTAGCAGAGCGCGTCGCGGACCCATGTATCTCTATCAGGGGGCTACAGTGGGTGTTGTGGGAAACTTGAGGATTAGCCGCCAAGTTCCCCGGGAAGAGACAAGAAACAAGAAGTGTCTGCTCGGAGACTAGACAGGCTTTAGCGAGAAAAGGACATGCAAACCACGAAGCTCTATCGAAAACTCTAGACATCTCTGTATCCAGCAGAAAAACGACCCAAGACAGAGCCCGTAGCAACTTTCTCAGGCTGTGGAGGATCTGGAGGCGGCAGCGGCAGAGGCGGAGGCGGCGGCGGTGGCGGTGGGGGCGGCGGCAGCAGCGGAGGCAGTGAGGACCTCAGCAATGGTGAAAGTCTGGAAAAGAAAGATGCTATCCAAGTGGAGCTTCAAGGATCCGAGCTGTGGAAGAGATTCCATGCCATTGGAACTGAAATGATTATTACCAAGGCCGGCAGGTTCGGCTCTGCCCAAACTGTTCAAGGGCCCCACACAGTAGTCCCTTATTGTACGGCTCTCATAAGACGTGATGCCTCCAGTTTCATGCTCTAGTACCCATTCTCCCCACCACCACATCCCCACCCCTGACAGGCATTAGAAAGTCATTGTCTCTCAATTGACCAGACTAGAATGTACCTGACCCATGTTAAATGGCTCAGTATTTCTTTTCTGTACATTGTGACTCCCAAGAACTCATTCTCCCTGTGTAATATATGACAAAAAGTAGACCTGCCAAGGTAAGTGCCAGATTCCATTCCCACATCTTAAGCGATGGCCAGGGCACTCTGTTAAAACCTCAGTTATTAGAGGACAATATTCCATCTAGCAGCCTCCCAAACCACAATCCCTCGCCCAGGCCAGTTACAGGTGGAGCTTTCTCCCTTTGACCTTCTGCTGCAGGGCAACATTTTAGGGGCAATTTGGTGTGTCAATCCTCCTAATTTCAGTCTTTCTCAAATCTGCCTCACAAAAGTTCTGCTGAAAAGTTGAGAAAGGGGCATGGCTAGTTCTCTTTTACTTTCTCTTCTACAGCTTTTTATTATGGTGGTAGTGGGGAGTGGGGTGGACAAAGACTTCTGGTAAGGATATTCTGCTCCAATCAGAAATCCTGAATTTATTCAATCCAGTATACAGCCAACAGTCTTTCTTCATGTAGCAAATGTCATTCCCTAAACCTGTCCTATAATGGAAAGGGTATTGTGAATCTCTTCACTTCTCATTTGACCCCAGCCCTGCCAGCTTGTAAATTGTCTCTAAAAGCACCCAGGTCAGTCGCTATTTCTCTTCCATAGGCGGATGTTCCCCTCTGTTCGAGTCAAGGTGAAAGGGCTGGACCGAGGGAAGCAGTACTATGTGGCCATGGATGTGGTGCCTGTGGATTCCAAACGCTATAGGTAACGTGCCCAAAGGAGGGTACCACAAGCTCAGGCTAGGAATGGGGATTCTGGACTTTGGAACCTGAGAGTGCTATTTTGGAAACTCTACTACAGGTAGGGGAAGTGGGATTACTTTCCTGTGGGATTTGGGAGTCGAAGTTTCTTGCTCAAACTGGGGTTCAGGCTGAGAAAAGATCAGGTTTCCTTCTTTTTCCTCTCATTCCTGGAAAGAGGTGCCATTTGGTGCTTCAGTGTCTCCCAAACCTTTAGTGTACCCACTGCTCTGGCCTTGGCTGTGCAAAGAGCAGAAGGTGTGGATTCAGGTGGCTGTTTGATGGAATTGGGGGTGGGAATGCCTGAGCTCTGGGTCCATACTGGGATCTGGGTTGTGCTACTTTGGCAGCAGGTCCTAGAGTGATGCCCTGATTCGCCCACAGATGCTAGTCCAGCAGTTAGCATCTCTTCTTTAATAGCCTCTTTCCTGAGGCAGGGGTCAGGTCACAGAAAGTACAAGAAAATTTTCCTCTTGCTGTAAGCACTCTACTTAGAGCAGGCACAAAGTGGCCGAATTAATCGAAAACCAAGAGGTGGGAAGTGTGGGTCTGGGAGCGCTTTGGCTCAGGAGCTATGGGGGTTGTGCAGGAGTCACTGCACTCGCTGTGAGCTGAGAGCTGGAAGCACTGTAGAAGTGCCTTTCTGGGAGACAGCCTGCATCGCGCCCAGGGCTGGGTTTGAAGGGCAAGGAAAAGGCGCAACTCAAGAGCCTGCTGGAACCAAAGCCTGGAAATACTGGAACAAGCTGTTTTTCTCGCGCGTTTGAACGTTCTTCAGAATGCTGCACACAACTGAGCGGTTGAACTCCGAAATAGCGTGAAAATCATCCCGGAGGCCTCTTGGAGCAGATATCCTGGGGGTATTCTGATGTGAAGCCTTGTTGGCAAAAGGGCTTCCATGATGATTCCTGGTGTTGAACTTGACAGATACTCTCTTCATCCCCTCTGCCCCTTCCCCCAAGGCACAAGGATTTTTCTGGTGTCTCTGCGCAGTAAAATAGATTAGATCGATTTATGTTGTGATTTCTGAGAGGAAATATAAACCAGACTCTGAAATCCCGTGACATTATACTTGTTCTGGCACTTCATTGCATTTTAATAACATATGCTTATTTACAGTTTGTTTTCTGTCCCTGAACTCTCTAGAAATCAAATGAGATCTAGTTTCCTTTGGGATTAGCTAGCAAACCTTGGATGAGGTCACTTGGACCAGATCCTGGCCACCTTCCTCCCGTGCCCCTGGCTTTGGCTGGCTGCAAATAAAGCTACATGTCAAGCGCCCTTTTCAGGTATGTGTACCACAGCTCTCAGTGGATGGTAGCTGGAAATACGGACCACTCCTGCATCACTCCCAGGTTCTATGTTCACCCGGACTCACCCTGCTCAGGAGAATCCTGGATGAGGCAGATCATCAGCTTTGATCGAGTAAAACTCACCAACAATGAAATGGATGACAAAGGTCAGGTAAGTGAGCAACCCTTTGCCCTGAGGAAGGGAGGAAAATGCTGTCAGCCAGCAGGTTGCCCTGGATAGCCAAGGAGGCTTCTTCCAGATGAGCTAGTTGCTGTCTTTAAGAATTGTTCATGTTCTGGGCTTGTAATGAAAGTAACTCCTATGACCTTTGGGGGATGAGGCTGAGAGTGCTGGAGGTTGGGAATGGTGAGCTAAGGGATTGTGAGGATCAAATGACACTTGCTGTAGCCTAGATACCTGTACTGGGAGAGTAGAAGGGAATGTTTCAAAGAGCTCTCTGGTACCTGAGCCTACTAGGCAATCACTGTGGCTCTGATTGCCTTCTAGTAGATGAGCACCTTCCATGTGGCATGGTGTATTGGAAGTCTTCTCTCCAAACACCCCCATGGATGGTCTTTTCAAATCACCTCTATCTTGAGCTTCTGCTCAGGTGAATCCCTTCCCAGGCCCTGCCCTGTCTGTCCTTATGCTAGTTACACAAGAAAATAGGTAATCTTCAGAAATTAAGAGGTGGGGAATGGCAGATGGTTGCCCATCATTTACCATAAACCCAAGGAATTTATGGTAGGGAGTCAGATCCCAGTGACACTTGAGTGCATCACATGATTACCCACGTTTGGAAGCAGGAAAAAGCCTCATCTGGAAATGGAATCACTGCTGCCTGGTGCCCTGGTCCAGAAACCCCTTAGCCGTGAGGGCCTCTGCCTCGGGCAAAATGGCACAGTAAATTCCTTGTGTGTGGCTAGCCTAGCCTTTCTGGTTTAGCTTTACTTTTGTGTGTAGGCAGGTTGGGGTGCTGATGAGAGGACAACAGTATTGGGGAGGGACAGCCAATTTCTAGGCAGCATTTGATAATTTCTCCTCCAGATCATTTTGCAGTCCATGCACAAGTACAAGCCCCGTGTGCACTTGATGGAGCAGGAAAGCAAGGTCGACCTGTCCCAGATTCAGTCCCTGCCTGCTGAAGGGGTTAAAACATTCTCCTTTAAAGAAACGGAGTTCACCACTGTAACAGCTTATCAAAACCAGCAGGTAAAGCTAACTAGGTCCCAGGCAAGCAGTGATGGCCCCAGAGGGACTTGTGGAATAAAGGCAAGTTGTATTATATGAATTGAATTTTCCTTGATTAAAAAACAACAACAACAACAAGGCATTGTATTTTTACCAAGGCAAATTTGATTGTGAATTGTATGCATCTTGTGTTTAAAAAGGAGCAAAACAATGTGCCGAGAAAGAAAGAAGATAACCATTCCAAAGTTGACTTAGAAATATGCTTGCATTTATTTAACATGCCATAGTACATGTTTAAAAGTGTTTCGTGGTTGTTGTAACCATTAAAAGCAATGGTGACAGTGTTATTACTAGGGCACTGACTTTATCTTTCTCTCTCTTTTGAATTCATAGATTACCAAACTGAAAATAGACAGGAATCCTTTTGCTAAGGGATTTAGAGATCCTGGAAGAAACAGGTAAGCAACATAACAATTACATCTAATATTTATATAGCCCTTTTCACAAGTATTACAGATAAGAAAAGTGTGGGTCAGAGACTCAGAGGCCCTAAATTTTGTAGCTAGTAGATAGTAGGAAATGAACCTAATTTTTTTTTTTTTTGGTACGTGCCCCTAGTGGGAACCAAACCCTGGACTCTCTGGTCTGCAGGCCAATGCTCCAACTGCTGAGCCAAACCGGCCAGGGCTGGACCTAAATTTTTTTGTCTCCAAAATATTACCTCCTCCCACTTCCTTCCCAATCCACTTTTAAGATATTGCTTATTCTATCTTAGTGAGTTTTTATTCAAGGAGTAATTACTCGGGATTTTATTTACAATCAGCTATAAAAGAACGGTATTTCAGATATTCACCCCTCAAAACCATAACAAAATAACTCAAAAGTTTCATAAATCATTATTTTCAGGAATAGCAACCTTCTGTATTTGCTGAAGGTTGAATTTCTTTTCCAGGGGCGTATTGGAAGGGCTTTTAGAGACCTACCCATGGAGGCCTTCTCTCACTCTGGATTTTAAAACTTTTGGGACAGACACAAAAAGTAAGAAAAGTTTTATTAATATTTATTTTTGAATGTTACTGAAATAACAACAGACAGAGCCTTTATATCAAACCTACACAAAGGGATAAGTATGTGCTAGAAAGTATATTACAAGAAAGTGGGTATATATTTATCTTGATGAGGAGGTAAGAGGCAAAAAGGGAGAGGAACTTGCACGAAGGAGAAGAGCAGAGACATGGTAATGGTGGATTTATTGACTTCTGTCTTCTTGAGTTATAGTACATCCTTAGATCTCCAGATCTTACCTAGATTCTTTAGCATCTTACTATTATTTTTTAGGATCTGCCTGTAGCGCTTTTGTGGATTTATTTGCAAATATGTTAGATATTGAAATAAATATTTTGTGTTTTATGAGAAACAATTAGCACATGTTCAAATAACTTCCATCAAATTAAATTAATTTAATAATTTTTAGCATACTTAGCTCTACTCTTTCATTAGTTATATGTAGGAAAAATAAATGTTAAAAACAATACTAAGCCATTGCAATTACTTTAATTACCACAAGCATTTAAAATATTTGTAATGTATCTGTTCTCAGGTAGGACATTACATGACTTAATAATAATCATAATTAGACAATGCAGGCTTTCTCGTGGAGGAATGTATACCTTCATTTACTCTGATATGTAACAATATATGGAAGAGTTTATTTGCAAGCAACAAGGACTTATTTTACCACCTTTGTCTTTACTCTATTAAAGTTGTTTGCTTTTGAACATCAATTCAAGGTTACAATTACCTTGAGAAAATTATCAATATTACAGTTAGGTTGAGTTTTACACAATACCATAACAACCAATTGAAATGTGGTAAAATATTTTACTGGACTGACTATATTAATTTGCCTTGGAAGATTGCATAGAAAAATATTTGATATTTGATATTATCACTCTAACTAATAGCATTGAGGCAACATGTTTTTAAAACATCCAAGTCAACACAAATTGCATAAATAAAGGAAAAAGCTAAAGATCATTAATTAATCATTTCAAATACACATTTTCTTAATTATTTAAGATGTCCAAAATGCTCTCAAATTGCAAAGAAAGTGGGTACAGATTTAAAAAATTAATTTTGAATGTTTAGTAATAAAATATATTTGCCACCCTGTTGATAAAGGATTAGGCTATGCCCATGTACACAAAATAAAAACAACAGTAACACCAAAAAAAAAAAAATCAATCAAATTCAGTCAATAACAAATCTTTTCAATTCAAACACAAAATAAGGTGTAGAAGGTGTAGAGTCAAGATGTTTGCAGACCTTATAATTATCCCAAATTTTAGTAGATACTAGGCAACTGTAAAAGATCACATAACATTGATATGAACATTTTCATTTACATCTCAATATTTTTTAAACTTCAAAATTGTCTTTAACTTTTGATAAAGTGCACCATGGAAGTCTCTCTTTTCATATAAGAAAAAAATCTAATGCATTTAAATACATTCTACTTCTTTATTTTTATTGAATTTATTGTGGTGACATTGGTTAATAAAATTATACATGTTTCAGGTATGCAAGACTATAATACATTATCAGTATATTGTATTGTTTTTATTTGTAAAGATTATTTTTATGTATGCTTGTTTTTTTTTATCAGACTGTAGCTTTCTATTGAATCCCAAACAACCAATTTCTTCATTTTAATAAAGGGTGAGGGGATATGGGGGGCTGGATGAAAAAAGGTAAAGGGATTAAGCAAAAAAACACACAGACACAGACAACAGTTTGGTGATCATCAGAGGGAAAGGGGACTGGTGGGTAGGTGGATGTGGGCAAGGAGGGAGATAGAGATGAAAAGAGACTTTGCTTGGAGCAATGGGCACACGATGCAGTGTGCAGATGATGTTGTATTGAATTGTATCTTAATAAATGTGTATGGTTTTGCAAGCCATTGTCACCCACAATAAATTCAATAAAAATAAATACAAATGATCTTTAGCAATTTTTTAAGTTTAAAACAAAACAAACAAAAAACCTAGTTTACATTTGTAAGATATAATTGGCTCTAGGTTATATTTAATTGAGCTTTTGTTTTAATTCATTGGATAAATGTTGCTCAAATGCATAGTGTAGTTCTTGAGCATAGTGAATGCTTAATACATGATGCATAATAGTAGTGCTAAAAGTAATAGTGATAGTAGTAGAGATACCATATTCAACTTTGGTCAGAGGAATAAGCATGTTCATTCCCGAAGAAGTTAAAAAATATGCAAGGAAAGCTAATCTAAGAATGAAATAGGAATAGTTATAGACTTGATTACTGATTCAGTAGGAACATCAAGTTTATTGTTCATTGACTGAATTGTCATTCACAGGTGGAAGCAGTGGCTCATCTCCAGTGACCTCTAGTGGAGGGGCTCCCTCTCCTTTGAACTCCTTGCTTTCTCCACCATGTTCCCCACCTACATTTCACTTACCTACAAGTTCCCTTGGAATGCCTTGTTCGGAGGTGTACCTGCATAGTATCAACCTGCCCCTTTGCTATGAGATTTGTCCAACTAATTTTTGGCGACAGCAGCCTCTTGTCTTGACTGCTGCTGAAAAGCTAGCAAGCAGCAGCAGTTCTCCATCTTTAAGCCCACTCATGATGGACGTTCCCATGCTATCTTCCCTGGGAGTTGCCAACTCAAAAAATGGATCATCTACAAACTTCAATGAGCAGTGTCTACAAGAACCTAATTCTTCCAATGAAATGTTGTATGGATTACAAGCACCTGGAAACATTTTATCACCAAACCCCATTGCCCAGGAAACAGTTGATTGCTTTTTCCACCCTTCCTTTGGCTTTTATAGGTACAACTTCTCTGTGCCATCCAGACTGGTAAATGCTTCCAACCATCTCAAAATGAATGACAACACTCAAGTTTCTTTTAGAGACGGCAAATGCAATCATGCTGATTGGTATCCAACCATTAATCATTGCCTTTAATGAAATAGTCACATTACTAAAACAATTACATGTAAGCACATAGTTTTTCATTTGTATCCAAAGAATGGTCAAGAGCTACTGGGCTTTAAAAACTTCATTATCAGAGAGTATTTCTCTGTTATGCATTTAAAGTGCCTTATTAAATGTTCATGAGAAGTTATATTCATTTTTGACCTATACCAAACATGATCTATAACAATCTCTGATTACAGTGTCTTTGGGCCTCAAAATAAGATACTCAATAAATGTTATTTGATGAGATAGACTACCAGTGAAAATTGACTCCAGGTGATTCTCTAATTATAGTGAAGCCAGTGTACTGTGTCAATTGCTCTTACACATTGACAATAACCAAAAGAAGATGAATTTAATTCTTATGAAAGCAGTGAAACAATTTTATATCTATCTATGAATATTGGCTTCATTGTAATTATCTTTCTAGTAAATGTAGGAGAAAATGTCATTATTCATTTGTCTTATACTCTTATACTCTAGTATATCTACATTATATTAACTAGTAGCTTATGAAGGCGCTACTGATATCAATTTTAAGGTGAAAGTAAGGATACACATTTTCATATATTAATCTTTGCAGCCTAAAGACCATTTAACCCTGAAGGAAAATGAAGATTAAATGAAATGCAAAATATTCTAAATAAATTCAATCTTTTATTTTCTTTTACTTGAATCATTCCTAGGTGAAATTTGTATACTTACTCCTTTAACAAACCTGGTATTTTATACAGTTTACAAAAGCAAATTATTATAGTTCTCCAAAAAGACTAAGAAATTGGGATTTGAAGGGGAATGATATATTTGAGTCCATAAATATGAAAATATCATTACATTGGTACAATTTAATTTCACTCCTGTGCAACAATCACAGTAAATTAGACTAGATAAAAGTATCATAAACAAGACTTTATTTTAGACTAAAATGCTTATGAAGTGGAAAAATTTCCTTTCACCTGGTCCTAAATTTTTTGTAAAATCTCATCTTTATATACCCTGTATATCTTTAAGATAAATCAGATTTTAATTTTTATGCTACTAGCTCTACCATTTATTAACCCAAGGCCCTTCATATCACAATGGCATGACTTCAATTTTGACAAACTACTTAAACTTTTAAACCGCTCTTTCTAACTTTTCCAAAACATATTAAGAAGAACATATTATTATTTATTTTGTTCAAAACAGTATTTCCTCTTAAATGTGCCTTATATATACACCTTCTAGTATATGCATTAAAATGATATGCCCCTTCATTTCCTGGGAGTAGCGATAGAACAGCATATGGTTACACTCAAATTGAGTATTCTAGTGAAGATGAAATATTATTTTGGCACAAAATAATTAGGTATCTGTTATAAATGTCTGATGCAGAACACCTGCACTACTCAGGTTTATCAAATCAGGGATTAAAGTAGCAAGTACACTTTATTACTGTCTATTCTAAAGCAGGAAATCTATAAGCTAACATTTACTGCTAAAATATTTTTTTTATTTTTTAGGCAGAAAAGCCCATGCCTTATGATAATGGAGCTTATTCTGATGGCTTACATGGCAGATACTCAGTAATTAATGACATAAAGTATTTAACTGAAAAATCCAGAAAACCTCCAGGTTACATTCTAAATCATAATATTTAAGAGAAGGCATTAATTTATAGTTGCTTTAATACATGTACACCATGCTTTATATTTCAGATAATTATGGTATATGTTACCCATATAAAATTATATTAGAGAACTATATTGGTAAAATTAATTAATATAAAGAAATAAAAGTTAAAATGCTAGAATCTAGACTTTTTGAAAGTTTTTTCATATAATGTTTATAAATTGTCATTTCATACTTTTAATTGAAGAAATAACCAAGAGGAAGTATGAATAGAAAATCAGATTTGGAAAAGACCTCAAGAAGTCCAGTAAGCAGTCCCCCAATTTCTGAGCAAGTTACTCATCTGCAGAAAGCATCTAGCAGTTCTAATTCATGTACAATTAATATTTAATGTTCTTACTTTTTTTTTATCCTCACTAGAGGACATTTTTCCATTTTTTGTTCAGATAGAGTGGTGGGAAGGAGAGAGAGGAAGAGAGAGAGAGAGAGAAACATCGACATGAAAGGAACATATCAAGTGGCTGCCACCTGCATGACCAACCAGGGCCGGAGACAAACTGCAACTGAGGTACGTGCCCTTAGCAGAACCTATCCTGGGTCTCTCTGGACTGCAGGCCGATGCTCTAACCACTGAGAAAACCGACCAGGGCATTTGTCTTTACCATTTTATATTGAATAAATTCTTGATTCCCAATAGGATGGTGCAAAACTTGAGTAACTTGGTAAACTGAGGTTATGGTTATGGAATAAAAGCAAAATGCTATGGAATTCTATCAATTTCAACTTCATCAATTAAATAGTAGGCTGAATGTTAAAAATCTACAAAAATAAAACATCACTCTAGTTAGACAAGGTATAAAATAGCAAATGAAAATTGTCAAATGATACTTAATAGACCCCTAAGTCTAATAATTAAAACTGCTATTTCCATTTGGTTTGACTATACATATACATCCACCCTTTGCCCCTTTTAGAATAAAACATCTTAATTCAGCTAAATTTATAAAATTTGATTCTTAACCTGACATTGTTATATAACTAACCCCAAATAAATCAAGACAAAAAAAACTTTTCATCAACTGTGTAAAATTTGTACATGAGTCAGGAAATAATTTAATTTATCTTTGCATAATCTCTGGTCAAGCTCAGACCTGTAGTCAGATTCCCTTGTCAGGAAAGTCCTATTTTGTAGACCAGTCAAAGTAAAATCAATGAGCCTCATGGAAGAGCACATGTCTAAGAGGAAAGTATTCATTAATTAAAAGACCAAAATATAACTTTAGGTAACATAATTTAGAACATCAAAATGACTATTTATTTTCACTAAACAAAGGGGCTAAGCCCTCTGGACATTACATTTAAAAGTCTGATATATAACTTTAGATTACATAATGGTAGAATCTTTAAAAATTATCATTGTTGCTTCTATTTTCTAAAAAAATGAAGATTTCTATTTTTTCTCTACTATAAAGGTAAGCATTCATGATATTTCACTGATGTTAGGCATGGGTTCTACTTATGGGCTGAGATTAGACACGACTTCATTCATCTTTTGTAAGTTTAGAGCAGGTCTATGGCAGGAAATGAAATGAACAATTAGAATCAGGAAGTGATGAGTCAGTGAATCAGTCTTTGAATAATCAGAGTCCTATGTGCTGACAATTTGACAATGTGCCAACAACAAAGACAAGTGTCTGTACTAGACATTATGGAAGATTTACCTTTCATTCTCCTAATCATTTATATTATGCACCTTGTTGAAAATCATGGTGCACATAAAGCAGGTAATGTCTTTCAGGTGTTACTGATATAATGCTAAACTGAATATGACTGAAATAAATGTTTTGTATAAATATTTAAAGTATATTTTACAAATATATATACATATATTTTATGGAATTTATTGGGATGACACTGGTTAACAAAATTATATAGATGGAAGGATACTTGACTTGGGGTGGTGAACACAAAATACAGTGTGCAGATGATGTGTTTGATGTGTTGTGGAAAAGTCTACAAATATATTGATGACAAATTTAGATGCTTTGAGAAAATAGTGTTAGATGTCTACATATACAAAGGGTGATATATAGTTATCACCTTACTAAATCTCAATATCAAACATTTTCCTTATCTGAATATGCAATTTGATAAATTCTAAATGCCGCGTTGTAATTTATATAACCAGTGGGGTTTTAGTTTAGTTTTGTTTTACAATAATTTATACTACCTTGTTTTTTCTCCTGTTACTACTCAAAAAGAGATGCTACTCTAAAAGAGAACACCTATTCATTAAATATTTATACTATTAATTGGATATACTTATGAAAGGCAGATTTAAATATACTTAGAAATATCTAATTGAATGTACTTTATTTTGTGAATTGACAGGGTGGAAGTGGAATGTTTTAATCTGATTTAGAGATACGTTGTCTTTGTGGTGAAAAATCTTCAATTTGCCAAAATAACAATAGTATTTAGCACCAGCAACAGTTTACCACTTAATTTCACTGTAATTAACATGTTTATTGAATCAGTTTGAAACAAATGAAACGCATATTTTAGTCAGTGGTGGCAGTTGTTTTGATATATGTGCCTTCGTATACATTTAATCTCCTTAGGTTTGGTCTGCAATTAAATGATAATTTGTATTAAAGCTGTGTGAATAAACAAGGTTTGGATGATAACTTAAAACAGAACAAATAGATATATGAACATCTGAAACATATCCAGTATGAAAACTATTTACATGTATGATGCTGGCCAACTTTTGACATGCTGTTTCTATATAACATCGAGAGGAAAAAGACTAATATAATTTCCTTTTAATGTATCAAATGTTCATGTTTACAAATTTGTACTCAACATTAATAAGTAAACATACATTATAGTGAGCAGTTGTGCTGAGAATAACTATAAGATATTTCTACTTAGCAGGAATGTACAAATGTATACTAAATTTATTTTTTAAAGTACCTAAAAGAGTTACAAAATTTAAAATTAAATGTCATAGAAAACCCTGTAGTTATAGTATAAGTTGTATCATACAACTTTTTTTTGTCAATTTTTTATATATTTGTAATTTTAAAGATGACAGAATTTTTATTTTGGATTTAAGACCACATATTTATACACATAATAATTAAAGTATAATGTAATACTTTAGGTGTAGAAAATGATATACATAATTTAAAAATTTATTAGAACATAAAAGGAATAAATCATGAATAACTATATTTAAAATATTGGTACAAAATTAATAACTAAAGATTTTCTAATTAAATGTATAATTCAGTCACTTCCATTTTATGATTATTTTTCGGAAAATGTTGATGTTTTAGTATTTTACCTTCACTGAAATTTTTTTTTTTATCCTC